GGGAAGCTGGGGTTTGGAGAGGAGAGGTAACTTGCCCAAGGTTGCAGAGCTAGCAGTGCAAACGCAGGTGGCCACTCTGGAGCTGGCTTCTCCCTGCTCTGTGCTGCCTCCCTCTTGGCTGAAGGCGGCAGGGACAGGCACTGTGGTGTGAACAGCGTCTGTGTGTCCCTGCGCCAGAGATGGGATTGGAGGTGGAAATTCAGGCCATGGGATGTGTCTCATCCTGTGGCTATGAAAGTGCTTCTCCACAGGTCCCTTTGATAATCTGCCCCCGAAGCAGCCTGGCCAGACTAGGGGCCTAAAAGTAAAAGTAGAGGTATCACCCCAAATTCTGTTTCCGTTTCTCCTCCCTGACTCTCCAGGAGCTCCAGATGGGATTGCTGATGTATCTTCAGAGGAAAGGAAGCCAGACTTGCCAACTGGTTTCAGAAAGGAATCTCTATAAATGCCAGGCAAAATGCAGGCAGCTTATATAACAGGGTCTGGCCAAGCCTTGGTCACATGACATAAAGAGGTTCAGGTTAAAAGTATTAGATATAAAAACTTTGCCAGGGCTCTCGCCAGGGGCCCAAGCACAGAGCTGCCTTTCAGGAACTCTGTAGTGTGTGGGAGATTGTTTACGCCCAGCCCTGCTTCTACCAGGACCCAGGAGGGTGTGAGAGAAAGTCAAGGAGGGCTCCCGCCCTCAGGAGTTTTCTGCCCTGCCAGGGCTCCTTGGCATTTGCTGGGGCAAAGGTCAGGGTGAATGAGTGAATAGTCTGAGTTATTTAGTATCTCAGAAAGTAGCACAACATGCTATATATATATATAGCGCACATATATATATTTTTATGTATGCAAACCCAGGGCCCGGCCCTTGGCTCCCAGGACCTTTTGGCAGAGTGAATGAAAATAAAAGAAGAAAGCCCATAGGGCTGATGAATCAGATCAAGTGACATCCCTCTAAAACCAGAAAAACTGGCCTGGGCCTGCCAGGCAGCACTGGGGTCAGGGTCACTGCCAAGGAGAGGTGGCTGCTTCAGCAGGGTCAGGGGAGGGGCATTGGGTAGGATGGCTCATCACATACTCTTCACATTACTCTTGAGGTAAAGACATTGATCCCAGGAAGCACCCTAACAACGACTAGGTAACCTGGGACGGCAGCCAGAGAGGGATGGCTCAGAGACTGGGGAAGGAGCTTCGAGGGAAGATCTCAGGCTAGTGCCCAGGGTGGGAGGCCTACCTGGACCCCTGGTGGGAACTCCCCAGGGGTCAGGGGAGGCAGTATGAAGGCTCTGAGACCATGAAGGGGATGTAGAGGGAAAGAAAAGGTAGAGCTGGAAGGGAGGAGGGATCCCCTGAACAGGGCCTTTACCAAACTGGCAATGTTTCTGAAGGCTGGCCCTAGGCACAGGCCTCACTTTGAGAACTGGCAGGTGGTTTAGGAGTTGGGGAGAGTAGGGGAACTAGATCTTCAGGAAGCAGCTTTCTAAATTTCAGAATAGAGAGAGGATGAACTGGGATGTTCTTAAGTGGTTGGGAAGCTCTTAGAGATGAAAGAAAGCGGTCCCTATGAGGAACAGAAGGCAGTGACCAGAAACTGATATGGCTACCTGGGAAGCCCTCTGTTGAGGGAGATTGGAGAGCAGTTAAATGGAAAGGAGGACATGTAACCAAAGAGGAAGGTAGAATGTGGTCAGAGGCCACCAGGGTGAGCTGAAGCTTGCAGTGAAACTCAGGACGACTGAGGGGGCTGTTACATACTTTGGAAAAAGAACAATGAAACCACGCCTGGTCCTGGAGGCCAATGGTGTAACATTAGGAGGGGACAGAAAGAAATGGGAGGGACTCTTGAGTCCCATTTTGTTTCCATTTTTTCTTTTGAGCTTGAAAAAGTAGGACAAAGGGTGGTAGAAGGGACTTGAACCCAAGTTGGGTGATTCATCTCCTGACCTGGGCAAGTTCTGTCCTGGGGTGCTGAGGTTGTGGTTGGTGACCTACAGGATGTGTGGGGAACAGCAGAGGGGCTGGGGGCTGGAGACAACTAATGCCCATTTATCAAAAAGGCAAGGGAGGTGGGCTCCACAAATTACTATAGACGAGGCTTATGAGCATTTAGACAATGTTTGTCACTGGGGCTTGACTGGGCTTGCTGGGAACAAGGCATACCAATTTTAGTTTAGTTTTTTGGATATTAGACAAAGTAGTTTTGGATTTAGGTGAGGCCTTTGATGGAATCTTAGGACATCCCCCGGACCACCTGGTGATGTTGTCAACATGTTTATAACCAGTGAAATATCCTTGGAGAGGGTTCGTTCCTGATTCTTCCCGCCTGCCCTGCCCAACCTGTGGACCCCATGGACAGGCTCTGTTCTTGACCTTGTTCTGTTCATGGTTTGTATTCGTGTCTCAGGCTGCTGGTTGAGAACAGGCCAGGAGGAACAGGCTTGAGATCTCAGGAGCTCTCCGGAGACTGAGCAAACAGGGGCCAACTCTTGGAAAGGTGTAATTTACCAGGGAAATGTGAGGGACTGCATTTGGGACCAGAAAGTAACTGTGTGGGTACAGTTGAGGCTTGTGGCTTAGTAGCAACATGGGTGAGAAGAACTCTTTTGAGTTTTTGCTGATTGCAAACCCCATATACATCAGCAGGAGAATGTGGCTTCCAGAAGAGCTGATGTGGGCTCAGGCTCCGTTGACAGACACTCAGTGGGCCAGGGACGTGATGCTCCAGGTTCCCTGAGCCTAACAGTGCGACACCTTCTTAGACCCCTACAGGCAGAAGAGCTGGCTCCCACCTCTGAGGTCTTCAGTTCTGGGAAATTTCATTTCATTTCTTTCAAAATTTTCTCCTCTCTATTTTTCTGTCCTCTCTTTCTGGAACTCATTATTAGTCAGATTTATTTCTCCAGGGCTGGGTTCTGTCGGGGGACTGCAGCCCTGTTCATTTGCCGTCTTTTTCAGAACTGGACAAGGCTTGTTCAGGGCTGTCCTAGAGGGGACTCCACTGGTTTAAATGACCTTTAATAAGGTCCTTGAGCGGCTGGCCCGGTGGTGTAGCGGTTAAGTGTGCTCACTCCGCTTCCGCGGTCCGGGGTTCGCAGGTTTGGATCCTGGGCACAGACTGATGCACTGCTTGTCAAGCCATGCTGTGGTGGTGTCCCATATAAAGTAGAGGAAGATGGGTACAGATGTTAGCCCAGGGCCAATCTTCCTCAGCAAAAAGAGGAGAATTGGCAACAAATGTTAGCTCAGGGCTAATCTTCCTCATATACACACAAAAAAGGTCCCTGAGATTTTATGCAACTTCTGAGGATGGTAGACTTTAAGAGGGAGTGAGAGGGAGGATGGACAGGTTCAGGAGCTCTCCAGTAGAGCTGGGAACGCCAGACCATCTGCAGTTCTTCTGTAGTCTGCCTCTCTGAGATTTCAACTCCTTGGTCCCAGCTTCTCTCTTTTTTTTCTTTCTTTCTTTTTTTGAGGAAGGTTGGCCCTGAGCTAACATCTGTTGCCAATCTTCCTCTTTTTTTTCTTTTTTCTCCCCAAAGCCTCAGTACATAGTTCTATATCCTAGTTGTACGTCCTTCTAGTTCTTCTATGTGAGGCACTGCCTCAGCATGGCTTGACGAGCAGTGAGTAGGTCCATGCCTAGGACCCGAACCAGTGAACCCCGGGCTGCTGAAGAGGAGTGCACGAACTTAACCGCTAAGGCACCAGGCCGGGCCCCCTAGCTTCACTCCTAGGTACTGTGCAGAAGAACACTGTCCTACAACAGGCAGGAAACAAATGAGGAGAGGGGGGCCTCGGTGAGATGATAGGGAGGGGTAGGGACTAGGTTGAATTGTCATGGGCATGGCCTATCGAAGGGCATCCAAAGAGGCAGCCATTACTCAATGGCACCAAATCATTATCAAGTAGGAATGTGGGCCCAGCAGTGCCAGAGCTTTCAGTTTTTCAAGAGAAGCCAGGAAATTGGATTTTCTATGTGAAATCTCCTGATTTGTATGTATTGGCATACATACAAATAAACAAAAACGTTTATAACCCCATGCAGGGGAAATAGTGTGTCTGCAGGCTGGATCTGGCCCAGACACTGCCACCCATGACCCTTGCTCTGGTTAGTCGATGATTCTGTGCTTGTCACTTTGGACTCTTCTCCCTGCTGGATAAATGTCCCCCAAAGATGTGATTTCCTAGACCCTTCCCCTCCCAGCCACCTCTTGTGGGCCCCTCTACTCTGCCAGCTTGCTAGTCCGACGTCTCATTTTACACATGATGACAACCCTTCTAGAGCCATTCACACTACTGGGTGCTGTTTCTCACAGCCATTTGTTCTGCTAAGCACCTTAACCATCCCCTTGTTTGCATTATTAATTTATCTAGAAAATGAGTAGTGTGAAGGTAAACTTCATTCTTGCCCCATGAGTGTGGGGCACACAGGTTTAGTTTTCCTGGAGCTTATCTGCAGCTGGAGCCCACGAGGCCTTGTTCCTAGAAGTACACGAAGGGACTCTGCCTGCTTTCTTGTTGGGGCCTGGGTGCAGACACCGTGTGCAGGGCTCCAGCTCCCCAGAGCCTTGGCCTGCAGAGGGCAGGGCTGCAGTGTGGCCCAGAGCTTGGGACCTCTGACCCTCCTCAGGGTGGCCCCTCCTGCCTCCCATGGCCTCTGTGGCCCTCTTGCCTTGGGTTCCCTTCCCGTCACCCGCCTGCATCTGCCTCTCATCTCACTCTGCCTGAGTGGCGGGAGCCTGCAGCTTTATATGCACTGGGCAGTTGGTGACTCATTCCTCAGCAGCCCCCAGAAGGGAAGTGAAACGGCTGCACCTGGTGGGGCCTGACCTTTGGGTGACAGCGGAAGTAGCTATGCAGACGTGGGGCTCCCTGCTGCGAAGGGAGAGCCACAGCCAGGCTATGAAGAAAGCCCTTGCCTGGCCTGGCCCCGTGTGGCCTCCAGGCCAGTGGCTCTGGTAACAGTTTTTCTTTCCCTCCCTCCCCCCACCTCCACTTTTTCTTGGTGACAGCTGGAAGTAGCAGTGGTCACAACTGAGAGAGCCAAACATTTCTACAGTCCCCAGGATGTTCCTGTCACCCTCTACAGCGATGCTGATGAATGGGAGGTTAGTGTTGGGGACCCCCAGGGCTGAGTGCCATGGCGTTTCTGCCAACAGGACAGGACTGTCCTCCCTGCAGCCTCTAGTCCTGGTGGCGGGAGCAGACAGGCCAGGCTCAAGTCAGTGGTCAGGGTCCGCTGGGCAGAGGCGATGAGGAAAACATCTGTCTAGCTTCTGGCCTGCAGGAGGCCTGCAGCTCCTCCCACCCCAGGCAAAGCTCAGCTTTGGCCCCGTGCCTGAGAGTGAGTGTCCTTGTACTTATCTGGGCTGATGAAACCACAGAGGAGCTCTGTTCCCACCACCCTTGTCCACGTGGCTCCCAGTGTCAGGGCTGTTGAGAGTGCCTCACTTCCCACGGCCGCTGGGCTCTGCTTCTGCTCTCCCACAGAGGGGCGGGCGTGGGCCGATTCACCAGACGTCAAGTGTGGGCCTCACAGGGGTGCCCTGCCAGGCATTTTTAAACATTCTCAGCCTAGAACATTTCTGACTGGCCTGTCTTCCTCACCCCACCCCCTCCGTTTCTCACCGCCCCAGAGCCCTTCCACTGGCTTGGACAACCCAAGCATCCGCCTCAAGCAGACAGGCCAGGAGTTCCCTGCCAGATGTCAGTTCTCTTGAAAACCAAACCATAAAGGGAATAGCTTGGAGAGACAAGGGGCGTTTGTTTCCTCAGGCCTGGTTTCTCTCAGGCTGTTGGCTCCATAGCCCATGCTCACTAGCTTAGCTGTGAGAGGGAACTGTGAGTGGACTTGGACGGGGGTCGCTCAGGAGGTCTCCCTCTGGTTCCTGACTTAGTGTACCTGGCCTGCCTTAGCCCTCCCCGTCCGCCTTCCTCCCTCCACACTGAGCGAGTGGCTGGCCCGGTGACCCCCTTTCCTTCCCTCTGCCAGATGTGGAAGCGCCGGTCCGATCCAGTTCTCCACATTGACCTCCGGAGGTGGGCAGACCTCATGCTGGTGGCTCCTCTTGATGCGAATACTCTGGGGAAGGTGGCTAGTGGCATCTGTGACAACTTGCTTGTGAGTGACTCTCTGTGCCCTCCTCCCTCCCTGGGCCTCACTCGCAGTTTGCTGAACTGCAGACTGCTTTTGTACAAAGTTCTCGCCTTGGAATCCTGTTATGGTGGGGCTAGTTTACTCAGAATACAGTCCCCCTGGACCGCCCCCTACCCCCGGACTTGTTCTCACCTATGCTCTGCCAAGTGGGCAGAAGACCTGGTCCTGATGAGTTGGCTTGACTTGTGGATGCTCTCTGAGGGTGTCTGCCTCTCACCTGCCCCTCAAGCTCAGCTCCTCCTCCTTTGTCCTTCATTCATGGGCTGCCCTTGACGTGCTCCTCCATTGGTCTCCCTACCCAGCCCCATTGCCTGCCCCAGTCAGCTCTACCCTCTCACGGGGATCTGCATATCCACATGGGTAATCTGATAAGAGGGTTGACTTCTTTCTGGATCTCTCAGGCTCACTTATCTCTCCTGTGGCGTTAGCCACAAGGCTGAGATGCGGTTTTCCTGTATATTATGGAAAGCTTAGAGAGAAAGAGAGGAAAAGGACAGAGTGAGAGGTGCGAGCTGATGGGTAGTGGAAGAGAGGAATGGAAGTCCAGCTGTACAAAGTGGGGATTGTCTTAGGCCTAAGGGACGTCCCGGGAGCTATTATCCTTAAAGAGCCTTTGTTTATATGCTCATCCTGGGAAGGTTTGAGCAGGATCTTTCTCCTCCCTCCCCCTCCCTGTCACCCCCTTTCCCTCATTCATTGAGCTTTTATCTGCCATGAACCAGGCCCCAGGCAGAGGGACACACAGGAAACAGGGACCTCACAGTCTGGAAGGAGAGGGTTTTTGGTCACCCATGCAGGTGAGAAGGGAATGTGCTCTGTTGTGTAGTACAGTCTTAAATGACCCCATTTGACAATGGAGTCACCACCTTGCACAGAGCTGGGCATACAGCAGGTGTTCAATAAATACTTATTATATGTATGCAGTAATTAGTAATTTGACTTTGGCAAACAGCCAGGAGTTTTTCAGAGTTTAATATGGTCAAGTAGTGAATAACGAAGCGGAGTCAAGATTTTTTGGGGTCAGATAGGAGGTTAGTCTCCTCGTATGCTTGTTGATGGGCGCTTAAGGCACTTCTTGAAGAATCTGCTAGTGATTTAAGCATCATTTTAATAAGAGCACAGGTGACCAGAAGAAGAGCAACACCCAGACTATGTGGCCAGGAGCAGGGTAGGGGTGCAGAGAAGGGTGAGGCTTGGAGCAGTGTTACCAAGAAGGCTTCCCAGTGGGTCTGGTGCCAGGCTGACGGGGCAGCTGGAACAGCTGAGGCTCCTGACTGCCGTTGTCTAAGAGGGTCAGAGTTGTGTGTGACGGCACCATCTCACCAAACCTCCAGGCTTCCCACTGGCTGGTCAGCAGCCAGCTGATGTGACGAAGCACACTGACCTCTAGGAGGTAAGCCTTGGCCTGGCCTGGCTCTCTGAGGCTTCCTTCCTTCTTCCCGAAAGCTCTGCTTCCCTTTTTTCTTCAAAGCTGCCATCCTTCCCTGAAATCTTTGGGGTTCCCACCTCCTGAGTAGGCTGAGCAATGGAATATGTTCCTAAGATGAGCCCCCAGGCCATTTGCCTCAAAGGGTTTCACTTGAAGGCACAAATATTTTGCAAATCTTATAAAGTTTAATCTGTCATCATGTTTGGTCTGTGGTTCTGTCCTCTCTCAAAAGATGTTCTCTCCTTATATCCCTGAAAAGAAGCTCACCCTGCTACCTTCCTCCTTCAGATCTTTTCCCTTTCCCGTGCCAAGAACTTGGGGTGCGGTTAGAGCAGTGTGCTAGGTGTGAACCTGTTCACCCAGCCTCCGGGCCCTTGGCCTCGGCGATGTGCATCTCCTTCTGTCCTCTGGCTCACTCAGGCGCTGCCCCTTCTTTCTGCTAAATAGCCAAGCAGATCCAGAAAGAGGAGGTGACTTCCCTGGGTCACCAGTCCAGTTGGGAGCTGGTCTCCTTAGCGGGATCCAGGCCTTCTCTCCACCCAAGCAGATTCCCAGGGGCAGACCCTGAGGTGCCGAACTCCACACTGGCCAAACAGAAGTGACTCTGGGAACTGGTTCCTCCTCTCATCCCTCCTGCTGCTGGAAGGTTCGGAGGAGCCGTGGTTTGTCTAGGAAGTGCTGAGCTGAGCTGGGAAGAGCTCGAGAGGCGTGGGACACGGAGGTGTTGGGTTTCTGCTCTGGTCGGCGTGCTTTGCTTTGAGGACACCTAGAAACCCCAGCCCAGCTCCCACTCACCCCACACGTAGTCCAGGGGCTCTTCTAGGCATGCTCATGACTTCTGCAGAAGCAGCAGGTGGCACAGGGCCAAGAGGAAGCGTGACTGAAACTGGCCACTCATAGCCTGGTTGCCGAATTGGGAGGACTTGTGGGAAATAAACGCTGGTGTCTGAACTGCACAAGCAGCTGGATCCTGAGGCTGTGTGCTGTCCCGCTTCCTTCCTGTCCCTGGGAGAGGGCAGGGGCACCGAGAGGGGAGGCATTGGCCCTAGCCTGTTTGTGGCATTGTTCTCTGGACTCCCCGCTCATTTCCCAGAGGGGCTCCACGTCAGGGAAGGGGCGTGCCAGCCACTGTCTCCCCGAGAGGCCCACGGCCCGGGAGGAGGTGCTGGAGCAGTCAGAGCACGGGGGAGCACACTCCTGTGGGTCCCAGAGCTTATTTCTCCCCCAGGCAGCCCCCGGTCCAGGGAGCCTGTGCCTGTGATCATAACAGGGGCTACTGTTTACTTTGTGCCAGGCCCTGTGAGAGGAGCTTTAAGCATTTTTACCCTCTATCCTCACAACCACCCAGGGGTGGGGGGGCTTTTGCAGAGAAAAAGCTGAGACTCCAGACATTAAATAACTTGTCCAAGTTCTCATTGCTAGAAATAGTAGATAGCACAGCTGAGATTTGAACCCAGGTCTATGTGATTTCACAGCCCACAGCACTAAGGACTCTGTGAGCAGGTCGGTCCCTTTCACAGCTGCTCTGGTCTGTGACTTGGTGGATCGCCTGGCAATCGGGAGGCTGCGTGGCGCGGTGGAGGATCACATGGGTGGCGTGCAAATCCTCAAGCCCTGGATCATTGTCTCCGTGTGACCTTGGATAACCGCTCGCCTCTGGGGAGTGCAGCTTCCCCATCTGTGAAACGGGACAGCACCTTATTTACAGGGTTGCAGTGAGGGTTCATGGGATAATATATGCAAGAGGGTTTTTGTCGTATGTAAGATGTTATTTTCATTGCCGAGCTTTAGTTGGCCTCAAAGTAGAGCCAGTGTCAGGATAGATGGGCCCCACCTGATGAGCAGTCTGGTCCTTAGCTTTGTGGGGATCTGCAAAGCCTGCCTTCTGCTCTCCACGGTTGCTTCTTTCTGCGAGGTGTGGCCTGCTATGGAGAAGCCTTATGCTTGGGCACAGGGAGACCTTTCTGCACAGGAGGGAAGGTCTGTTTGGAGGTGGCTGGGCCATTGTGCGCATTGGTGGAGCGTATCCTGTTTATAGGGCCCCATGCCAGAGCCTTGGGGAGGTGGAGAGGGGCGAGGAGACACATCCCTACCCCCTGAGGGACGTGAGACAGCTCCCTGCAGATAGTAGTCATCCCAAGCCCATGACTGGCTATGGCCCGGAGGACAGTGCGTAGGATTTGGAAGGGCTGGGGAGGGGTGGCAGGCAGAGCAGCAGGCACGCCCACCCTCTCATCCCCTACCCTGGGACCTTCTTCACAGACCTGTGTCATCCGGGCCTGGGACCGCAGCAAGCCTCTGCTCTTCTGCCCGGCGATGAACACCACCATGTGGGAGCACCCCATCACCGCGCAGCAGGTGGGCCAGCTCAAGGCCTTCGGCTATGTCGAGATTCCCTGTGTGGCCAAGAAGCTGGTGTGTGGAGACCAAGGTGGGCATCTATCTGGTCAGGCTCACAGCCCATCCTCACAGCCCGGGGCTGCAGAAGGGCTCAGCTTTGGGGTCAGATCTGGGTTCAGATCCCAGCGTGTTGTGACCTCGGGCAAAACCATTTACCTCTGAGCTCAGCTTTCTCATCTGGGAAATGGAAGTCATAATTCCTTCCTCTCAGAGTTGTTAGGATTAAATGAGATAGTGTGTGTAAAGTGCCTGGTATCGTCCCTGGCATGCAGCCCATACACAGTTCATGATGGCTACTGTAACTATTCCTGAAGCCTGTCTTGGAAGGGAAGTGATGGGTCTAGCTCAGGCTGAGACCATCCTGGCCTTCTTAGGCATTGGGCTCTGGGTGGAGCATGTGCACTGGGGAAGTATTGAGCAGGGTCGGGGAGGGATGGTCCCCTGCCTCAGTCTGCAGAGCCACAGCAGAACTTTGCTCCTAGGTCTGGGGGCCATGGCTGAGGTGGGCACCATTGTGGACAAAGTGAAAGAAGTCCTCTCCCTGCATGGTGGCTTCCAGCAGAGTTGAACCCAGGATTTCTGTTGTGTGTGTCCCTCTGCACTCAGCGTGTTTTCAGGCCAAGTTGGTGAAGAAGATGGACATTTGCAAAATATGATGAAGACTCCTGCATTTACTGAGTAGGGGTCCGGCCTGGGCCTGCTCTAGGGCCTCCCAGGGGCCTGACTGGCCCCAGGTTAAACTAGACCAAAGGCCCAGGTCTCAATTTCTTTCCTATTAGGAGACACTCGCTTTCTGGAGCCCCTCCCCACCTTGTCCTGGATAGGTACAGCGACCAAGAGGAGCAAGCTGCTGTACTGTCACTGTGCTCTGGGAGAGGGACTGAGGAGTGCCTGAGAAACCTTGATTCTACATTGTGCCCAGGAGCCGCTTTTAGAAACAGCCAAAGCTGGAGATGCCCAGCGTGGTGGGCACCTGGCCAGGCCTTTGGAACTTCAGCTCCCTGGTGAGGTGCCCAGGTGCCACACAGAGCCAGGGAGGCCTGTGAGTTGGAAAGTCCCTGAGATTTCCCCACAGACCATGCCGTGAGATCGGGGGTACTGGAGAATAAAGTGACCATGTAGGAGACTCTGTCCTTCCTTTATAACCCATCTGTGGCCTCAGAGATCAGAGGCATTGCTAGGTGTGGCTGGGGAAGGGTCTGGGCTGATGACTGACCGCCACTCCTTAGTCTTCATGTCATATGGTGGTAAGGGCAAAGGACTCTGAAGCCAGACAGCCCCTAGTTCAGATCCCAGCTCTGACACATACTAGCAGTGGGACCTTGGCTCAGGGCTCAGCCTTTCAGACCCTTACTTCCTCATATGTATTATCATCCTACTCTCCTAGAGTGTTGAAAGGATTAAATGAGATAATATGTGCAAAATACCCCAGTGAGTGCCTCGTGTGTAGTAAATGTCAAATAAACAGAAGTTAAAGCTAGATATTATACATACCAGTGAGCTTTCCCAACATTTACTGAAATAGGCTGTCTCATTTTGGGAAAAATAAAATCCTGACCCTAGCTGATGTGGCCTTTTTCAAGTGACAGGCACACGGCCAGGAGGGTTGGAACCTGCCCTGGAACTCAGGCCCTTTGCTTCCTGATGTTGTCCTCATCAGGTTTGCTGTGCCTGAGAAGGGGCCTGGTTGTCTGTCTCCTCCCCGCCCCCGACAGGAACGGGGAAGTAGATTCCAGAGAGACAGGGCTCTGCCCTAGAAACCTTCCGCTGCCCTGCCTTTGACCCACTTGCTGTTTGATGGCTGCAGTGGGGAGGGACTTGTTGGCCTGTTTGGAGCTGAGGTTGGGGCGGGCTTCCTGCCCTCCTGCCTTCCAGGCCAGGGGTGAGCGGGCACCCCATGCATGCCCTCGGACCACTGAGGGTAGAGGTGCCTTCCAGGGGCACCAGGAAGCCTCTGGCTGGAACCTAGGCCTCCAGCAGCCTCCAAGAGCCTTTATCTCTACAGCACTTGACTTGATCAAGTGATCCTTTGGGATAAAATGGCCTTAGGGCACTAAAGAAAATATAAATAAAATAGCATCAAGAACCAACCTCTTTGACTGGTTTGGGGGTTGGGGCTTGGGGAGGGCCTGGTAACTGAAATCCAGAGACAATCCCCAAGTTCCATTTAAATGGTTTCCAACTTCCCTCCTCCTGTCCACGTCACCCTTCCTTCCCCTCAGCAACCTGCTGGTGAATGGTGAGGCTTTCCAGTTTTAACAGAAACTGCTACCATTTGCTGAGTGCTTATCTTGTGCAAGGCTCTATGCTAGGCACTTGAGGGAAGACAGTTGCTCAGGAGACCTGCTACAAAACACCTGATTTAAACGGCTACGGGAGGGGCCGGCCCGGTGGCCCAAGCGGTTAAATGCGCAAGCTCCGCTTCAGCAGCCCAGGGTTCGCCGGCCCAGGTCCCAGGCGCGCACCGATGCACCGCTTGTCAGGCCATGCTGTGGTGGCGTCCCATATAAAGTGGAGGAAGACGGGCACCGATGTTAGCCCAGGGCCAGTCTTCCTCAGCGAAAAAAAGAGGAAGATTGGCACATGTTAGCACAGGGCTGATCTCCTCACACACACACAAAATTAAAAAAAGAAACGCCATGGGAGCAGAGAAGTTCACAGGCCTCTGAAAATGGCTGTAGCTACTCAGAGCAGGACTGAGCCTTGAGCCTTGTTGGCTGGAAGGAAAGAGATGTCCCCAAGGATGAGGGTCAGCTGGAGGCCCTATCCTTGGGGGTCCACCACTCTATCACTCCAGTCCTGCATCCCTGTTGCCCATTTTGAATGGGGGTCTGGATGAATTGTCTGGGGCTGAAGAGCCCAGTTGTTCCCTGAGCCAGGCTGGAGCTAAGAGGAGAGGGCAGTTAGTGTCTGAGCTGTATTTACCTGGCTCTATCTGCCAGAGAGGTGCTGAGATGAGAGTGATACCCACGGCCTTCCCCACCAGGAGTCAGAGCTCTTAAAGTTGGCATCATCTTGGGTAGAAATGTTTCTCAGAGAAGATGCTAGCTTCCCTGATGATTTTTATAGAATTCTGGAAGTTTGACAGAATAGAACATTTGGGTCTGAAATTCACACTCTTATTTGGCAGCCTGGAGCCTCTCTAGGCTGTCGTGGCTCCTGCTGGGCAAGAGGCAAAAGCCTTGGGGCCAGGGCCCAGCCTCCTCACTGGGCTGTCTCCAGCTCTTCCTCCACGCCCATGTGTCCTGCTGCTGCCTCCTCACTGCCTCAGGGTAAGGCCCTGACTCCTGGGCAGTACAGAGTTGGCATCCATTGTCTGGTTCCTGCCTATCTTTGTAGCTCCACCCCTAACCACACATCAACCCTGCAGGGCTCCCTATCCTCTTACCATTCTGGACAACCTTGACTGAGCCCTGTTGCTTCTTGCTTCTTGCCTTTGCATGTGCTGCCACTTTTACTGGAAGGCCATTCTTCACCTGGCTGACTCCTACTCATGCCTCCAATGTACTTGGGGCCACCTCCTTTGGAAAGCCTTCCCTGGCCAACCGAGGCTGAATTAGGTGTTCCTTGCCCAGGTTCCCATTGTGCCCCCTTTTATTTATTATAACATGGAGTTGCAACCATCAGTTTTCTTTGTGTCCCCCTAAAATTGGGATCTCCTGGAGGGCAGGAGTTATCCTGTTCCTCACAAAACCTGGCAGTCATTCCAAGCTTCTTGTGCTGACAAAATTTTAAAAAGGTGTTTATAGCAGGGCAGTCTTGCTCCTTTCTGAGCAAGATACACAACCTAGGAGCCATAAAAGCAAAGAGTGATTAATTTGACTACAGAAAAATAAGCAATTCCACCTGGCAATAGCCCAAAGGCCAGGCCAAAAGACAAACAACAAATGGGAAATTATCTGCAGCTCATACAACAAAGGGCTAATTCCCCACATATAAAGAGCTCCTATACATCGACAGAAAAGACCAAGAAGACAAAAAAAGCCGAGGATAAAACCAGTCCACATAAACACACACGTAAATGTACATGAAACAAAAAACTACTCGACCACATTCATGAGGAGAGCAGTGCAAATCAAACTACACTGAAAGTTTTCACCTATGAGGTTGGCGAGGTGTGAGGAACTGCACCCTCATACATTGCTGGTGGGAGTGTAAATGGATACAACCTCTTTGGAGAACAATCTAGGTATATCTATCAAAATTACATATGCTGGGCCGGCCCTGTGGCTTAGCGGTTAGGTGAGCGCGCTCCGCTGCTGGCGGCCCGGGTTCAGATCCCGGGCGCGCACTGACGCACCGCTTTTCCGGCCATGCTGAGGCCATGTCCCACATACAGCAACTAGAAGGATGTGAAACTGTGACATACAACTATCTACTGGGGCTTTGGGGGAAAAATAAATAAATAAATTTATAAAAAAAAAAAATTACATATGCACCCTACCCTTTGACCCAGCAATTCTACTTGTAGGGTTTGTCCCACAGATACACTCACGTATATGACATGTCTGAATAAGGCTATTCATTGCAGCGTTGTCTATGGTAGTAAAAGACTGAAAACACTCTCACTATCTCACAACTGGAGGTTGGTTAAATAAATTAGAGTCGTTCCTACACTGGAACACTACAGGCCACAAGACAGTGTGAGGAAGCTCTCTAGGAGCTGAGATGGGGTGATGTCTGAGACACATTGTTAAACAGAAAATGCAAGATGCAGAACTGTGTATTGCATGCTAGCTTGTGTATGAAAAAAGGGGGGAGAAAAGGAGGGTATATTACTATTGGCTGGTATATGCATCAAATACCTATTGAAAAATAAACAAGAAACCAGTCTATTGTTTGCCTCTTGGCAGGGGAACTGGGTGGTTGAGAAACAAAGGTGGGAGGCCGACTTCATTTTATGTTTTGAGCCAAATGAATACATTATCTATCACAAAAGCAATAATTACATATGTTTTTAAAACGGTTCCTTCTGCCCTTTATCCAGAAGTTCTTAAAAATGGCTTGGCAGGGAGTTAATGCAAAAGACTTGGCAGGGGCATCTGGAGATTTCCATCAAGGTCTTTGGAGTAGAAACAGGTCTGTTTTTCTTGTCATGAGCTAGTAGAGGGAGATGACTTCTGAGTACCCCTGAGTGCTCCTTATAAGCCTTTGAGGTCCCTGATCTCAAGGAGCTTATGGTCTTATGGGAAGAAGACTCAAGGCTTTAAAACAAAACAATCAAATGAGGGAGAAAATCAAAAGTGAGACCGTGTGGCACAGACTCTAGGTGCCGTGGTTCAGATTTGAGAGGCAGTCAGGGTGGGCTTTTGGAGGGAGCAGAACTCAGGCTGGTGCTTACTGGAAGACCAGTGTAGTTAAAAGTGGATATGATGGGTGAAGACACGTGGCCACGTGCTTGATGTGGGCCACCTGATGGGAACTTAGACTCCATGTGCTAAGGAAGTCGGGAGCTGTTCAGCAGGAGAGGCACACGGTGAGTGTGGAGGGTGGTAAAGATCAGCCGCGTGCTGTATGCGGGACAGATGGGAGAACTGAGAAGTCAGAGTCAGGGAGGAAGCCAGATGCTAAGCCAGCTAAGCCAGGGAAGCCAGGCTGTGCTGAAGGCCTTGGCCACACCCATGGTTCTGGAAGGGGAGGGGTGCAAAAGTGAGGGAAGATGTGAAGGAAAATCAGCATGATTAGCAAGTGTAAAACACTGTCCTGTGGCTAGTGGGGGGAATGGGAACTTAATGACAATTGTGTGCATGATGGTGCAAGATTTATTAACAGTCCCTAGTCCCACCCACTGAAAAGAGTTTTTCTTTGCTTACCACAGTTTTTTCTCTCAGGATTGTTCAGTCTGCCCTCATAGTTCCTAGACATTTTGTAGTGTGGAATTAGAGAAAACAAATTGAGATACAGAACTGAGAAGATGGGAGGAAAAAGGAAAGGAGTCTTACTTTTGGGGTTGGTCCTTTGTTGTGGCAAATTCTGGTAACTGGTAAAGGGGGAGAGAGATTAAAGCAAGGAGCAGAGACTCGGTTAACTCCATAATAACTCCTGAGAGGGCCTGGGTGGAGGGGGTGGCAGCAGAGCCATGCAGGCTGGCCAAGAGTTGGGGTACAGTTTGGGGTTTGGCTTAAA